TTCAGCAAGTTCCTTGTCCTTAAACTGTCATGTTTGTTCCCAGCATCAGCAATAGTTTGGGTGAATAAATAAATTACAGCAAAGCAAGAAGAGAAAATATAACAAATAAGGAATGCATGCAATTATTATGGCTTGAATTAGTTCTGTCCAACCTCTGTTGGTGGAGCCCGAACAGCAACAGTTTCTTGCTCCATAACAGCTCTCAGCTCCTTGATTTCTTCCTTTTCAAAGCATATCTCACCTCCAGTGTTTGTATCAGAAGAGTCGGTATCTGGAGTTTCCACTTCCTTCAGTTCCTCGTCTTTTACTGCATCGACTTTAGTTGTAACTCCATGCTCCTCTTCCTCACAAGGAAATTTGGATGATGGAGCTGGAGACTCCTTCTCTGGTTTGTCCACCAGAATTTGAGTAGAACCAGTTTCATCATTTTCTTCTTTCTCTTGAATCATGTATTGAGCTGTTACTTGCAAAGTTTTCTTTGTGGAGCTTTCAACAGGGTCGGATGTTGATACTTTGGTCAAATCCTCCACTGATGTAGAGTCCTTGGTTATTTCTTCAACTAGATTATCTGTTGTTTTATCTCCACCATGTTCAACTTCTTCTACTTTTGGATAAATCTCTTTAACATCTCCAAGTTCAGCCTTCTGCGAGGATTCTGCGACTCTGTCCTGCAAATCTATTGGAACATCTTCCTTTCCGATTGAACCTGTTGTTTCTGTGATCTCGATGGGATAAAATACCCTTGGAATCTGCTTATCAGATGCTATATTAGCCGTTTCCTCTGGCTGCTGAATATCGTCAATTATCTCATTGCCTTCTGCAAGGTCCTTGGTGCTTTCTGCCTGTGCTAATTCTATGCTTGATTCCTGGTAAAAGATTTAACATAGAGCTTCTCAGTATCAGTATTTCTATCGGTTATTTTCCTTCCTTAATGATGTTTAAAATTCATTTCTGGCTCCTAGAATGATTGAGGGTTCTGATAAATTGAAATTTAAAATAATAATAAAAAAACCATTTTCAACTGAATTCTAGCTTCAAGAATTTTCTTTGCCTTCTTTCTTGTATAAGATCTCAGTTCAACTACTACATTCTATTCTCTCTCTCTCATAATATTTTGATTTCATATGGTCCTTCAATGAATTGATACCCTTTTATTGTTTCAAGTTTGTATGAACTTACTATTTTATTACTATTTGAGTAGATTCATGAAATCAACAAGACTGTTGCAGTACCTATTTAACCTTATTTGAGTTTCGAGCAGTAGAATTCTTTTGAAAAATATTTAACCATATCCTATTACAGTTACATTTACAGAAAAGATTCTTTAATGCAAAGTTTGAAAGGAGGATTAAATGTAGTCTGACCTCTTCCACTACTGTTGCTGTTTCTATCCTGGCAACTGAAGCTTGGCCTGGATCCTCAACAGTTTTATCTTCACAGACGGTCTGCTTTTCAATAATCTCATTTTCACTGGACTTTTGAGCTTCCACAACGAGCTGTTATAGATGAAAGCTTTAATATGGAAATAGAGAGCAAGAAAAGAATAAAATAAAGTTGAGTTTCTGTTTCCTGACCTCTTCATTGAGGCATGTTGTGGTTTTGAATGCTTCATTTGTCTTGTCTTCTACTGGTTCATCCTTTAGCTCATCTACTCCACAGCCATCTTTTGTCAGTCCTTCTGACAGGGAAGTTGAATGAGATGTTTCAATAACTTCCTTGTCCTCAATGATCTGTCAATTTTTTGCCCCAGCAGTTAACAGTTGTCCAGATAACAACATTTTACAGCAAAAGAATAATAGAAACAAGAATGGATAGGGAAGTACGTGAAATAATTAAGGTTTAGACTTGTCTTGCTTACCTCTTCTTTTGAAACTTCATTCAATATGATTTCATTGCCTTCATTTGTTTTCTCACACTGATTTTCTTCATCCCTTGTCTCATCTCTTGCTTTGACAAGTTTCTCCTCAATTGCAGCACCTTCTGTTTCAGTGAGTAATTCATTGTCATAAGCCTTTTCATGTGTCTCCATTTTGACATTTGAGGCTTCCTCAATCTCTCTTGTTTGTTCTGAAATCTTTTCTGGACTCTCATCTTCTTGCAATTCTGGTTCCCTTGTTTCATCTTCTTGTTCCTCAGAAGGCAATGTAGTGTTTGTAATATGAAGTTGATCTGCTTGCTTCTCTCCTGGGAGAGTCTGAGCAGCAGTATCTTCATCTTCCAAGGCACTTTGAAGCTCTCTTGCACATTCTGATTGGAGGCTTTTGTCATCTTCCAGTGTTTCTGCTTCTTTTATTTTCTTTTCTTCTCTTAAAGTGCCATGCTCCTGTGATTCCTCTGAAATAACCTGAGTAGCGATAGTTTCACCTTCCAACACAGCTCGGGGATCCCTTGTCTCGTCCTTCATAGAGCATATCTCTTGTACTGTCTTTGCTTCATCAGAGTCTTCATTTTGCATTTCTTCTTCCCTGACTTTCTCTTCTTCTGGCTTGTCAACTTTGTTGACAGTTTCATGCTTATGCTCCTTTGATGGCAATGCAAGAAAAGGGCCTGGAATTTGCTCCTCTGATTTCTCTCTTGGGATAGCATGAGCAGAAGCACTGTCATCTTTTGCGATAGCTTCATCCTCCTGAAGCTGTTCCTTTCGCAAGCATTCATGTTCTCCATCATCATCTTGAAAGAATTCTGCTTCCTCCGTTTTCTCACTTCCTATCTTCTCAGTTGTACTTCCACATTCCTCTTCCTTTGAAGGCAGTGCAGAGGTTGGATTCTGAACTTGTTCTTCTAATATCTTTCCAGTGAGAGTCTGATCAGCAGTTTTTTCATCTTCTACAACAGCTTCAAGCTCGATGGACCTTTCCCTTTGTGAGCATACCTCTTCC